GGTGAACACAGAGACAAGACATCCACAGGAAGCTGCAAACTCTGGCACATTTTTGGTCAGGATCCCTCCAGTAGATCCCCATCACTTACATCCATGTACCAACAGCACTCAGTCGCTGGCTGCAGAAGATGGGCTGCCTTCCCTAAGTGAAGAACCTCCTGGAGCATCAAAGCTTCCCAGGGTTGGCCAGTGACTTGCATTAAAGGCTGGATAAATTAATCAGATTTGCCAGTTTTTTAAAAAAAAGTATAGGGAGAATAATAAGGTTGCAATAAAACAGAAACAGCCACAGACAATGGATTATAAAAGAACCTGAGTGATTCTTCTCCATTCAAAACACAGATGCAGGTTGGCAGAGAAATACTTCTGGGGAAACTCCTGCCTCCGGTAAGTCCTAAGGCACGGGACATGCACTGGTGAGAAAGCGTGCAGCGCTCGCATCCTTCTACTTGCACAACTGAACTTCCCTCCCAGTGCATCACGCTGAAAAGTAAATACTTTAACGGATGGCACTAAGACTAGATAGATGACCACGTTATAAATCTGTCTCCTGGCTCCAACGTTGAAGCACAGAGAGGGCGTTTCAGCTGGCAGCGGCAAAGCTGGGGAGTGATGGATCGCTTGCTAATCCATCTGCTTTTAGATTTGCTCTCTAATACAAAATACTATTTTAATAAAGTGCTATTAGCTCATAACTCAGTGTCACGGAGAGGAGATAACCTCAGCCAGGGGTTGCCATCCTCTATCCCTGCATGGAGCGTTAACAAATAGCTAGCTGGGTGCCACCTCCACAGGGCCATCATTCATCCTGTGAGCTCACGGCAAACCAAACTTACTGATGAGGTTGGCAGAGGTGACAGAGGCCCTGCATTTAAATCTTTGATGAGGCAGGAGTTGAACAATGACAGGTGGCCTTTCTTCTCCTTTCCTGTTGCATTCCACATGAGCAGCAGCACCGACAGCAACTGGCACAGCTACTCCGCAGGCAGCAGGGCACGAAATCACCTAGCTGGTGGCTAGGAGCGACATGCATGGCAAGAGGGACAAGGAATCTCTTTTCAAGGGCAGGATTTAGAAACCTGGTAGCAATAGCGACTGGGACGCATCGAGAGAGCTGGCTTCGTCAGTCCAACAGCCCACAGACGTGAAGGAAGGAAGAGTAGTGTGCAAGTGTGAGAGAATGGATGGAGAACTTTATTTCCTGTTGAAATAAAAAATGAAGTGTCAACACTGAGAAAAGTGGCATTTTCAAGCCTGACAGCTACAGTTGTTCCATGTCACACTACGACTGACCCAGTGTAGAACTGCAGAGCGCATCAGCTACCCGTGTTCCCAGCGCTCCACATGCCACTAACCACAATACAAGGATGTTGAGCTCAAACTGGGATTATCTGGCTGGAACCTGTAATGGCTCCCAAAATACTGTCAGGGAGGAACAAATGGCATCAGCTTGTACAAGTGGAAGCCCATACCACTCTTTCAATGCAGTGGGAAGAGATGAAAACAACTGGGTTGGAAGACTGGACCCAAGCAAAACAAGTTGTCTGTACCACCTCTGCCACTCCTTACCCACCTTACCTGACAGATGTTAGCACCCCAAGTCTCCTCAACCCTCTTGAATCAGGCTCGTCCCTGGTTTTTCCGCTCCACCTCCTCAGTTTTTTCCCAGCCTGGGTGCCACCTCCCTCTCTTCTTCACAGGTGGGAAGTAGGACATCCATCATTCAGCAAGAGTTTGATAAATGATGTATCGATACCACTGAGCTGGGTGTAAACAGTCCTTCTCCTGCTGCCAAGGGTAGAAGTGATTGTATTAAGCGGGATGTCTCAGAAGGGGACCGGGGGACGTGCCTGCTCTGCCCAGAGCCACAAGCTTCTCTGGAAAGGAGAATGAGAACTCCGTGCAAATTTCAGACACAAGGATGCTGTCACAACCTACCGGGTAGGGGCTGGGGAGGGAGATTGCGAACAAAGAGAAGACAACCAGCGAGCCCTGAAGCTCTCCACTCCTGGGATTTCAACTAGCACCAGAGTTGCACAGGAGCCTGCAACAACATGGCTAACAAAGCATGAAGAGCACAGATGTACAAAGTTCTGACCAGCTGTTTGAGGATTTTTAAAGGTGAAGGGAGGTTGAGACACAGGCAACAAGTTCTATATATTAAAGAGCACTGCTCCCGTATAACTGACCGAAATGTCTCTACTTACCACTCCCCACCTTTGAAAGGAAAATAAACTAAAGAAAACAGACTTCATTTAGCAGAAAGAGCATCATCTTCTGGGCTGCCCAAGAAGGGGAAAGAACTTTGGCCCTTGGGATACAAGGCTAGCGAGTCACACCAAAGCAACGTCTCAATACACACCAGAAACGCAAAGGCATCCACGTGCTCTCAAAAGCACCCATGTGCCCGTCTTCAAGACAGAGAGTCCTTTCCATCCATATGAAGCCCATCCAGTAAAGCTCAGGTAAGGATTAGTGGCATCCACCGTTAAGAGCGGTCATTAAAAGTCCTTAAAAACTCACCGAAAAGTACTTCTGTACTCAGGCAAACCTGAGAACCCTTAGGTCAGCCTATACTCCCTGCTGTCTTCCCTGCCACAGCAAGAGGCTACTTCTAGCTAATTGTTCGCCCGAACCTGCAATTAATCACCGTCACACAGCACAGAAGCACGGATCATAGCTGCATTACAAGCACCGTGCTCCCTCTGCTTCCACGTAGGGACCTGATGCAATCTGAAGGAGGAATCACAAGAAACAGCTGAGACAGCAATTGCTGTGCCTTTCACACAGCTTTACAGCAGGATTCTCTTCCCAGCTATTGGTATCAGCAAAAGCGCAGGCAGACGGCGTAGGGACAAGACTTTCTCCCTCCCCCCAGCTCCTTTTGTGCTTCATGGAGACGATTATGGAAGAGAGGGGGGAAAAGTATTGAAGGTGTATGTCACAACCAGAGGTTTTAATCACACAATATCAGGCTGCTCCCTCATACGATTCATTAGCAAGGTTTTTTTAGCAGGGAGTGGCTGTGCTTAGCTCCCTTCCATCTTTGGGGCTTAATAGAAACCTAATTCTAGTAAAATCTAAATAGGACGGGGAAAGCCTAGAATAGCTAATCATCTAGTAAATCAGTGGACTAAAGGACAACTATACCTAGGCTGAAGGGGAGGAAAAAATTGGCACTGAGGTTTATTTCAGTCATTCAGAACATGAAGTACGTCGTTTCATTTCATACAGCGATTCCTCTCTTTCCTCTCCAGCATGCTTCCCACAGCAGCGTACCCTGCAACAAGTAAGTGTTCGTGGGGCACGCGAGTCTGGGCACACGCTGCTGCTGTGGGACACCCGGCCTTAACAAAGGAGCAGCTTCTAACATGCATCTTCAAATTCTCCCTTGGCATCCAGGGGAAAATACCAGAGAACTATTTTGAGAGAAGGTGGCAGCCCAAGACAGTGAAGGTTTGCAGCCTCAAGAACTATTTCTTTCCCGGCATCCCACAAGTTTGCCTGTTCGGAGGAGCCTGGTGACCATCCCTGTTCTGCTCCCATGCTCACAAGCTCTTGTCAGGGTGCATTTCTCAAAGCTCAGTAACAACCACCAGCGAAGTAGACAAAGCTGTCAGTTCTTGTCGGAGGAGAACATCTCAGCAAGGTACTCAAGGGCACAGATTTAGGTCAGGCAAATGTGCTTGCATGGCGTAGTTACAGACAGGGACTCGGAGCAGAGCACAGAGTTCAAATCCAGTTCAAACTCAGGAAAAAAAAATAATCCAAGTGATTTTCTGACCTGTCTCTTACAGACACACAGACAGAACAAATGTCATCTGATTGAGACAGGCTTGTGTTCACGACTTGACAATGGCACATTTCTCAATTGTTCCAGAAATGCAGCAGAAACACTCACGTAGCAAGAGCAGCTCGATGGCAGCAGCCGGTAGCAAAGACACCCCACTCATCTCTCCCTCTCTTCAGACCATGCTGGACATCTGTGTGCCAGACAGATTTACCGACCCTTGCCTACTCACCTCCTTAAAGAGAGAGCATTTCCTTGGGAGGCGGGGGGGAAGGTATCTAGGGCTGCTCTGACTAGCTGTAGCAGCAAGTACCTGGCTGGGGAAAGCAAATAAAGCATTGTGGGCTGTATGGTCAGAACAGACACACGGGAACCTGGGGTTCCTGCGGCAGCTCAGCAGTGTCTGAAGGGCTACCTAGCATCCTGAGCACTGCTTTTAAGACTGTGCTATGGGAAGTGTCAGCTGCTCCACTGCAGTTCAAATAACCTTTTGCGATCCAGGGAGCGTGTGTAGTTATTCTACAATGCCAACCTGGAGGGGTACAAAAGCTGTCCGGCTTGGATCACTTAGTGGTTCAGCACTGAGGAGTCATGCTCCAGAGCTTTTAGTCCCCTGCAGTGTACTGCTACAGCCATCCTCCTGGAGCCCCAAGCACAGAGAAGACCAAAGGCAGCAGCCAGGCACCAGCAGGTATAGCCACAGCACAAGGAAAGTCCCAATGCTTATCAGCCAACGCACTGCACAGTTGTAGTGTCTCCTAAGTGTTGACTCCAAGTTAACCAGGTGCAGCTCTGAACCACACCAAATACACCTCTGTACCACAAAGTCTACCCCGAGTCTGTGAAGGGGCAACAATAAGAGAGCAAGGACTGATGCCATACAGAGATGTGAGCAAGGAGGTATGTCACGGGCAGCATCTGTGAAAAAAAGATGAGAAATACCTCTGCTGGAGTATAAACCCTACAGAGTGAAATATAGGGCAGTAGCAGGCTTGGACAGGCCCTGGCTTCCCACAGGCCCAGGTCACTGGGACACTCCAGAAGAGCATCAAACGGCTGAAGCGGATTTGGAGTTTGGGCCTCTCTAGCAGGACAGGCCACACAAACAGAGTCAATGGTATTTCAGCAAGGGCGTCCTTTAATACAGTTGCTTCTGCCTTATTTAAACCATTTTGTTTTCTGGTGCACTTTAAAAACATGAAATCAAAGGCAGACCGAGGCAGTATCCCCTCCCTTGCACCAATGGACACGTTTCTCTCAACACATGATCCCACCAAACATTTGCCCAGAAGACCCTCCCAGCTTTCTCCCATGCCCACTTCCCACACATGCTGGTCTGAAGCCTGCAGACTTCTCACACTGGTGTTCCTTTGGGGAAAGGCAGAAGTGGGTTTCTGCCAGTCCCTTTGCTTGCTTCAGCACCCTCTGTTTTCAGCCACTCCATCTTCTGTTTGTGTTGCTGCACAGCATCAGCTACTCGAGCATCGATCATGGCCTCTGTAAGAACACCGTCCTCTGATGCATAAGCTGCAGCCTGGCGAGGCAAAGGCAGAAGACATAAGTTAGTGATGGCAGTTCCTAAGATCAGTGAAGATCTGAGACTGGTCCCTCTTTTATTTTCTTCTCCATGCATGTTTGCTCCCACACTACCTAGCACAACATCCACTCTTGTTCTAAGTCAGTGGTGGTACCTAGAGCAATGTGGTATAATTGCCATCGGAAAGGTTTTCCTTGATGCAGCTGTACCAGAGACTGAAATACATCAACTGCCCAAGCACAAAGAAACATTCACAGCTACACTAAAGTCTTTGTCTCTGAGCTACTAACAAGCACCTTTGCCTACCTGCCTCTGAATTTCCTGGGAGGCAAGATCTTTGCATTCGGAAGAGACAAAGCCACAGGTTCATAATGCTGAACATAGCCAGTAAGGTCAGGCTGCAGTCACTCTTGGCTTGTTTAAATTTCCTCTCCTGCTTCAAAAGCGCTGCACGTATGAAGCCAATAAGGTAAAGAGTAATAGGTGCATATGGTGATTGAATGACTCCATCCAAGGCAACAGAAAATGTTTTAAACACTTACACAGGAGAACTAACATCAGTGCTAGGGTGAATATGGGCAATGTGGCACCTCTAAAATGACGTCTAATGTGCACTAATCACGCTCTCCTCATGCATTCTGCTAGGAATCTCCCCTGCATCACTTCTGTGCTGTGTCAGCTCCCACCCCATACTCATCTGCCTGTGGGACCTTCCCTTTTCTTCCCCCCATTCATATCCCAACTCCTGTCTCTCCAATTCTGCTTGGTAAATTAACACTTGGTCCTGTTGCTACTTCGGTAGGCAGTACAAATTCGATCACAGTTCCCTGCAGAAAGGGCTAAACACTACTGACATCCTTGCCAAACAGCCCACAATATTTCTCGTGGCAGCTTAGGGGGAACAGGACTGCGTGCCATTTCTCATCAGCTGCAGCAAAAGGATTGTCACTTGTGTCCAAACACGCAGGACAGTGCGGACTCCGCTGACGGAGATTTTGCAGATGACACCACAAGCAGCCATACCCTCCAAGGAAGGGAAGGATGCTTACGCTGTTAGCTGTACTCATCTCCAAGGTAACAAAGCAACCCCAAGATACAGATTTCTAAATCTGGTTACTCCCTATGCAAGCGCTCCTGCAAGCGACTCAGTAACATAGTTCCTTGTACAGCTATGCCAGCGAGGGAGCTTGACGTTAATCAGGGGGGGATGCCCTCCAGCTTCTCACATCCATGCTGCCTACCCCAAATAACCCCAAACTTCTGCCCACATCTCTCTCCTTCCACAGAGCTATCACATCATGGATTGTCACACGCCGACCCTTCTGCCTGCAGGGCGTTCCCCAAGATCCCAAGTTAGGAATATAAACTTTGGCTTTCACGGCAGGCTGAAGTGTGCTTCTAAGGTATTACATACAGGCTCCGTAAATCATTAATGGTGCTAAACATCAATTATACCAAGCAACAAGGTCTACTACAAAAGCACCACAGAAAGAAATTACAGTGTGACCATTTTATGCACCCACTGTCCGGTGATGTAGATGGGAGAGAAGACAAACCCCAGAGTAAGCTTTTGCACCCGTCAGTACGATCATAGTACTGACTAGCCCAGGACAGCAGACTATACCTGCCTATTAGATTACTACTACCTCACTGCAAGAGGAATAATTATTTCAAGAAATGAGCAAAAGGTTAGCCACGTCGGTTTTCACTCTCCTCTAGCCTACTTTCCAGCTGGAAAGTAGTCTCGGTAGCCTTTTTTGGGGAACTGGTTAGACCACAACAGGTCTCACTGCACAAGCCACGCGTAACCATAGAGCTGGCAGGCGCTGGTTTTTACTGCAAGAAGCATCAAAACAAATCCTTCCCTGTGCAAAGCCTTTGTAATCCTTCCTTAAGGCAGAAGTGACAAGTTAGACTAATGCTCATACTTCAAGTTAGGAGTAAACACTGGCTGCAGGCAAGGAGCGCAGAGAAATAGGTCTGTAAGTAGAGATTTCCCTTTGCATAAAGGCACTTGTCCTCTGTACTCAACAACAGAGCAGGAGGCAGTTACTTCCCACAAACCCCAGAAGAGCTGCGCTGTTTCCATCACCTGCCTGCTGCCACAAATATTTATACAACCTCTTATCACAACATGACCCATCTTCTCTCACCGCTGTAAACGGGGCATGGTGGAAAGGTTCTGTTCAGTAGAAGTATCCTCTCTGACTCAGCCCCATAACCCATCCCTCCTCTCTTTTTATTTATTTTTTTTTTCTTCCAGGACATGACTGGGGACTTAAAGCTAAAAGGAGCCAGCATCCTTTTGTCAATGCAGCCCTCCAGCCAGGAAGATTTGGTGTTTTAAAATGGAGTAAGTGCTTCCCTGGGATGTGCGTTATGTGCCTCCACAGAATAGAGAGGATATCTTCCCTTCCTCCCTGCCACTGCATAGACCATAAATTTCAACTGTGGAAACTCCTGCAAAGCTGTGCAGTTCACGCTCTGTTGATTTTCTCAATGACTTTCTATTTATAGAAAGCCTCAGGCCCTAGCTGTCAAGAAAGCAAATGGGAGAAGCAGCTGTCCCTTCTGGGAGTAGCTTGCACACACACAAAAATTGTACTGAACTTCATTTATATTCATACCTCTGCCTTCTGCACGGACAAATTTTAACCCATTTTCTCCAGTGCAACTATTCATGTTTTATAATTCAAATCCAATTATGAAATAATCTGAAAACAAAGTATTTGGAGGGGCAAGTAGAGGGATGGAGCACAGATGATAAGCCCAGCATAGATGACCTAATGTTTCATTTCAGCCAAGAACCATGGTTTATTTTAACTTGGCCAAACTAATCTGTATCCTTTGAATCACATTTATAATGAAAACAGCCTGCTCAAAAAAAAAAAAAACACCAAAAAAACACAACCAAAACCACAAGCATCCCCCAGCACTGCTTACTTATAATGTCCTTCAGCTCAGACCACTACAGAAACATTAAATTCTTCCCATAACCTGCTCAGGCAGATTTTTTTTTTAAAAAAATTATTTTTTAAATATAAACAAGGTTCGTGGAGCAAAAAGGCATTTATGTCGGTGGCACAAAAGGCAAGGAAATGACAAAACCACAACCAAAACCACAAGCATCCCCCTGCACTGCTTACTTATAACGTCCTTCAGCTCAGACCACTATAGAAACATTAAATTCTTCTCATAACCTGCTCAGGCAGATGATTTTTTTTTTTTAAAAAATTACTTTTTAAATATAAACAAGGTTCGTGGAGCAAAAAGGCATTTATGTCGGTGGCACAAAAGGCAAGGAAATGACAGGAAGTTCACCTCTGTCGTTAAGACTAGGACATAAAACTCCCGGGAATTCTCCCGAACTGTTGCCAAAACAATTTTCCAGAGACTATTGCTTGGAATAGTGAAAGGTTGCGTTTTTGACATTTTATCTAAAGTGCATCAATGGGTTTAAGTACAGGGTGCAGAACTAGTAAGTCTGCACATTAAGATCCGAAGGGAATTTTTAAGTGTGTAAATGCACCTAATCCATGCTATATTCACAAAAGATTAGATATGGGGAATGCAAAAGCACAAGGACAAAAGGGAATGCTCAGTCTTCTGCAGAAGAGATTAAAATGGATTTCTAGCATGCAGACTATTAGCTGTGCTAGACAGCAATATTTTTCCCAGTGCTAGAGGTTACATCCTCTGCTTTTCTGCATCTTATTTTTTCTGTTTGGTAAATTCAGGGCAAACTGAGCCACATCGAAACAACAGTGAACTAGAACTTCATGTAAATGACAGCCAAGCAATTTCAAGCCCAGCTTACAGTGGAATTAAGCCGATGAAAGCTGCAGCTATTGCTCAGGCTTCTAGCTTAACCAAGATATTTTTGTTAAAAGCAATATTGGCAGAGCACTCCAAAAACATCTTCATGGGAAATGACTGTGAGGCCAGGGGACAGCAGAGCAGCCACATGCTGCCGTTCTAGGTTACTCTTGGTAAGAGCATCAGCTACAATGGTTTCTCCTCCTACTGCTTCAGAGCTTCACTTTTCCCCAAACCATCTCTGAGATTCAGTTCTGGTCATAAGACAGGACCCCAGGCAAGCTAAGTAGAGCTGATGGGGATCCTGGCATCTCAAAACTCCATCAAGTCCATGATAAATACCTTCCTGTGCTCCCTGTCCATTTCCTCCAGCACTTCTGTAGATTGAGGAATGGAAGCAGGAGCAGCAATGCAGATTCCTCACTGCCTTTCCTAGTACTACCTGTGCTTCATGGGCAATTTGATTGGTTTCATCACAGAGGTTAGGATTAGAATTGCAAGCGACAAGGCTTCAGTCAGCTTGAGGTAGTAGGACAGACCCTGTGGAACACAGTAACACTTCACCATAGATTAAGGCTGCCATTCTGCTCCCTCTGCATTTTTCTCTGTTGTCCAGACACTGGCTGAAGTTTTGTTCCAAGATACGTCTACGGAGGTGTAATGCATACAGACAGCAACACTGCAAATGACTCCTGGAGGAATAAACTAATTAAGAAAATATATACACAAAGCTGAGGTGAATTAAGTGACAGCCATGTTGCAATTAAGCCTACACTTTGAGGATTAGCTCCAAGTCACATCAGGGCACTATGCAAAACACCTGAAAACAAAACGCAAACAAAATGCTCCCATCCTGTTCTATGGTCTAGCATTCACAACCAGCAGTTTTCACTAGGGCTTCGTGCTGTAATCTTCCCCAGAATGGGTCAAATGAATTAATTTATTAAACAGAGACCTTAAGCATGCTGCATTTCAGCAGCTCTAGAGATGAGCCTATCTAGAAAAGTGTTTGAAGCTTAAGGATCTTGATACATAGCTGTTTCAAGTCTGCTTTCAGGACTTCTAAAGAGCACTAGGCTCATGACATCTGCTGTTTACCAGCTCTGTAAGGTGTTACCAAGATCAGAAACAGAATTGCTAAGAGAGATACCTTATTTTTCCCTTTTCTTGGCTCTTCTTGTCTTTCATCTTCTCAACCTGTACATCATCTCAACCACTTCCTCCCTGTGTTGTTACCTTGACATAATGCTTTGGGTGGAGCGGAGGGCGGGGGGGGAAGCAACCGCAAGTAGGGAGCTGAGTAGGAGGTCCAGATGTTCACCTTAACTAGAGTCACAGAAAACACTCCCTAAATCCTTAGGTTAAGCCCTTTTGTAGCTTCCTTATAACTCTGCACATCCAAGGCAGACAAAATTATCGCTTGCAAACTGATTAAAATTCAAGTGGGTGTTCATAAAGGTGCTGCTCACATCAGGTTATTTCCCACATCAGCCATCTTTGGCATGCAGCATCCTGAATCAAAAGTTCAGTCATACAGGCGTTTAAAAAATGAACAAAGAGTTCAAGAGTTAACAGTCCTATATGTAGTATATAACCACCTTACAGCTGTCGCATCCAGCTGAGGAAAGTCCAATAAGCATTTTCTTGAGCCAGTTATGCTGGTTCATATAGCCCCTACCTACCCTACGCAGTTAACTTGTCTTGCCAAGCTATTTTTAATTCCGATCAGCTCCCTGACCCAGTTCATAGTACAGCCATACAAAGAGGCGTACCAGCACAACGGAAAGGATAGCAGAAAGGCAGGAATATGAAGCAGGACTAACACTGCCAGAAATGCTTGTCAAACTGCAGCCTTAATCCTTCCTTGACAGGAGAGAGCATTGTATCAGCTACAAAGCTACCTACAACAAGCTATCTCTGTTAGCGCTGACCCAGGCCCCAAAGACCGATATAATTCAAGAGATCAACTTGGGTTAAGAGTACTTAAACCACACCTGCTTACAGAGAGGCTTTTAACAGCAGCTACTGAAGTGTCATACCCTTAATACTTCACACAGGCAAAAATCAAAGGCAGGTGTTAACAAGTCTTGCCAAAGTCAAAAGTCAGTGGGCCAAACCTGCCATAAACGCAGCCTTCTGTAAAGCTCCAGTCAAGCTCCAGCCAGTTACAGCTCCAAATTCCTCAACCCAATGACTGAAAGAACCCTACGGTAGCACTTAGGCCCAACAGCTCTGGCAGGCAGCTCCCAGAGCAGTGTTCAATACAGAAGTCTTACCCTTTTTCGGATGTGCTCACAAACCCACGAGTGGACTGGATCCACCCAGTCGTCTCCTGAGGAAAGAAGTCCATGTGTCTAGCCACTAGCTGCAAAAAGCCTGTGCTATTTTAACACTGACCCATGACACAACAGACTTCCTTTCTCTATCAACAAGGGATAAGATATGAAGTCCCTTGTTCCAGAACACCAACTTTGATTTTGACACAGATGAAGCTTCTTGCAGCTTCCACATCAAAACAATTCATGTCTTTTTGCCCACCCTCCCCTGCATTTTTTTTTTTAAGCCTTTTGACTGCTTTATGACAGCAGAGAGGAACAAAACCTCCTGCTGCAATTTTACACAGAACCTTGTTAATAGTTCTGGTGCTATGAGGTACATTTAAAAAAGTGATCAGGGCAACAACACTAAGGAATTAGTCACCCTCAGCTTTCCCTTCCTTCATGATCACTTAAAGGATAAGTGATAAAAGCTGAGGTCATTCCCAGAGAGTAATGACAAGCTAGGAGATAAGGGGTGATAAAAAGCAAGGCTGATAAAAAGCAAAGGATCATTTATCACAACTTTTTATTACAGGAAATGCCTGGCAGCAAAGCCTTTCACATCCATGGGTAAGGGGGTCCTCTTCTAAATGAAAGAAATAAAGAAATTTTACGACAATTGGTGGTCTGCTTTCTCTCCCACATCACTGTCACCCAGTTTAAGACAAACACCCTAGGGTCTTTATCCTGGGTTTCAAAATCAGAAGCCCACAAAAAGCATAGCTGTACTTGGAAGAAGTGAAGCCATGATCTACTGGCTCTGTGAAAGGCAGAAAGGCCCAAAATTCTGGTCCTTCCTTCAACCCGTCAGCTCTCCAGAATGGTGTCTGAACACGCTAACTGGACACCACGGAGTCCACCTAACACCCATCAATAACACACTACCTCTCTCCGAATCTCAAATACTGCTCAAGCATCTTGCTAAGCTTCTCGTGAACTGGTAACAATACTAACCTGGTATGTTTTCAGGCAGTCAGAGAACAGAAAAATTAACAATAAAGCTTTATATAAATTTTCAGATGACAGCAAGCATTTTGAAATATGTTTCACTAATACAAAATTAACCAGCTGTGTGTCAACACACAAAGGATAAAATAAGGACTAACAGGACTCAAATGGCTGCTTTGGACCTCAGCTCATGACTACTTTCTGTACCTTAAAAGGTGGAAAAACAGTAGTAGGAGGAATGAAATGCACAAACTTTTTATGAAGTTTGTGAACTGCTAAACTAAATTCAAAAAAAGAAAAACACAAACAACTTTGTTTTTACAAGACCTGAAAGGAAGCTGACATTAAGTTACATGACACACCATTTGGAGCATATTCCTTAAACTGGTATCACTACATTAGTTTATAAAAATACACAATCCAGTGAAACTGGCAGCTGTGACAAAACAAGATGAAATTCTGATAAAAAAAAGTGCTTAAGGTTGTTCAGCATGTGAACAACTGCACTCAAAGTGACTGTATTTTGTATTTCTGTATAGGTATCATGCATGTAGAAGTATCTAGTCTTTTGAGCTCCATTTTCCAGTTAGTTTTGTTCCAATTACTCAAGTTGCACTAAACCACGTTTAGAACAAAGTAGGGCAGAAGGATGTTTTAGTGTGCCAATGCTGCCATACCTATGGGCAACAACATTAGGCATCTCTTCTCCAGAGCTTTTTGAGCTGGAACATGAGTAACAGCCAGTATGATTTGCCCAAACCCATTCCTAACTCACTTGCTTTACTTAAATTCAGTAAGGGATTTCCCATTAGTGATTATAAAAACTTCCTATTCTGACACCCACCCCACAGCTAACAGCATTCTAGTACTACGGTATGGGCATAATGAAACTTCCAAAGTGAGACAAGATCTGAGCTCCAATATCAAACACTCAAACCTTCCGGAATGGGAAACCGAACCAAGAAGCCCAGTGATAAAAGCCCTACTTACCTGCCATGCCACAGCAAGCTGAGAGATCTCTCGGCCAGACATGCCCTCTGTCAACCTGGCAATCTCTGAGCACTTTTTCCCATAGTCAAACTGGGCCAGCTTCAAACGCCTAAAAAACAGAAGAAGAAGGATTATTTTACATGCAGCCACAGGACTGGACTGGGTGGGTGAGGGAGTCAAAGGCAGGCTTTGTAAAGAGCAACACTTACAATGAAATCAAAGAACAGATCGGATCAATCTCTGTAGAAAGATCCAGCCTGAGCACAGAAGTTGTTCTCCTGGGCCCAGAAGGCCCGATTTTGTAGCACAAAGAAACGTGTGTACCTGGATTAAGACCAAAAAAGTGCAAGACTGCACAGCACACAAGGAAACGAGTCACTTGGTCTGATTTGTCTCAGTTAAGCCAAGCAAAGACAAGCGCTTGGATATGAGGATTTCCAACAGTGTTCCTACTTGCATTATTGCCTCCAGTGCAGCAACTAGTCCCCTAAATTTTAAGGGCACAACAAACCATAGCATGAAATTCTAGGGTGGCATCTCATCCCGTAACAGGATAGCAAAAGGCATCTCTCCAACTCTTACCTGTACTACTTGTTTAAAGTGGGTTCATAGATAGTGTGACAGAATACACAGAAGAGGAGATGAAGAAAAACAACAAAAGAAAGAGAATCCTCTAGGGTGGGAGAGTTCTGCAGGGATACTCACTGTTTACCCTCTGTGGCTGGCTTCAAGACATGCCTATCAAAATACATTCTCACAAGCCGCTCCCGTTCTTCTAGCTGGGGTAGATCAAAGTTCACCATTTCATCTATTCGGTCATTGATAGCCCAATCAAACTGCTCAGGCTGGTTGCTTGCTAAAACAAGCATAAACCTGCAAGCATGAAACAAGACAAGAAAGACTGAAAAACCCATAAAAATAAAAATCAATGAACCAGTCTGAACATTGGGAACCGCCATGGCCGGTATCAAACTCATTTCATCACCTGACATGTCTGAAGATTCCTTAGAAACAGCTTTATAACAGCATCTCAAGCGACATACTAAAATGTAATGCAGTTTAAGCTATTTAGAACTGAAGTGTGTTTAACTCAGTACTTAGCCTTCCAGTATCAGCCTTCCCCAGTCTGTCCTTGCTGTAGAAGTCAAATATATCACCTTACCCTCAATCTCCTTCAAGTTAGGAATATCACAAACATTTAGCATGAGTACAACATCCTAGAGACCTCTAAGTCTGAAACCTTGGAACAAGGTTGGACAACATAGAGAGATGCTCTCTGGCACATATCTATCTCCAGTTTAAAACCCAGTTTGGGGAACTGACTTGAAGGTGCTAACTGCACAGCACCCTAGAATCATGAGAGGTTGTCTTAGTCCTGCTCTGAAGGAATGAACGGCTGAAAAGCCAACCGCATTACTAAAACCTGTCAGCTCAACAAGCTGCAGAGCACTGAACGGACTCATCCTGGTCTAAGAATAAGGGGAGTGTAGCACTGCTGGGTCTGTGCATGGGAAAGTCATTCTTCAGCAGCTGGTAAAAGTTGACTTGTTTCCTTCAAGCAAATCTGACAACACATTCCTGCTGCCAAGTCTGATGTGTGCAGGAAGACAGGCATTCACAAGGGGTACCATAAAGCAAAGGTGGTTTGTTTTACCAAGCTTTGCTCCATGGTACAGATGTGCCAGCTTCCAGGTCCTGCTCTCTTTCTTTTGCTTTGTAATGATGCTTCTTCCCCATGCCAATTCTACTTTAATGCTTTAATTGATGTAACCAGCTTAACAGCGCATTATAATTTGAAATGGGCTTTTAACCACAGCTATTGGAATATTGACATTCTTGCAGTCTCTTTAAATCGTAGTCTACAGGGGGCTGTGTTCTTTGCTGTCGTTTCTGACGCTAACTTTGCCAACCCAAGAGCCACATAGGCATGAAACTATTCCTTTTTTACCAACAAGAACTACCTCTAAACCCCTGTGGAAACACAGCTTGGATAAAGGATTGACATGCAACCTGATACTCAGGTCTTGCTCATTTCTGTCGTTAAAATGATAAAAGCAAGAGATGCAGGCACAGTCAGCTATCCAGCAAGATGCAGACAGTTCTTTGGGAAGTTTAAGCCAGTAATTCACAACAGCACTTAGTTACACCGGTGACAATTCACTGGTAAAGTAACAGCACTCCTCAGGGTCTCACCAAAACAGCTAGATTTACATGCACTATTAGACTTATTCAAGTGAACTCCCATTCATGGATAAAGGACTCCTTATTGCCCAAAGCAGCAATAAGGCTGTTCAGAAGTAAAAAGCAGTGAATGAATCACAAGGACATGTTCAGTCTCCTAGAATGGCTCACATTTTAAATTAGGGTTGAGTTCAACGTCTGACAAAATGACAGCTCAACTGTTTTGAGTGGAGGCACAGCACCCACCAGCACCAAACAAGCACGCCCAGGGCTCTGCTAAGGCAATTTAACATCAGGGGAAAGAACCATCCCCTTACCAGCCCCTGCCAGTCACTGGCTTGCAGTGCAATTATAAATCTGGTCAAAACCATAACTTTGCTAGATCCACAGCAATTAGATGTTACAAGTCTGAAAAGGACTACCTCCTAGAAAAAGGGGGAACTATCTAAAGCTAAAACATACATGCTATTATTCTTAAAAGTTCCGCAGTTCCAGCTAAACACCTTTATCATCTTTGCAGGTACAGGGCAAAAGACATTTCTAGAGATGTCGTAGGAGCTCAGGATATCTACAGTTTTCACCTTAGAAAACTGTATTTCTATCTTAAGCACCATTTGCTCTGGGTCCTGCAGAACATACGTATTTTGCCAATACACATTTATTATATTTATTCTTGCAAACAGCAAGTACAGTATCGTTTAATAATAATTATACTCAACTCAGCATTTATAGAGCAATTCTATGTATCATTTCAGAAGAGACTTGCTATCCTCCCAAAGAGAAAACCAAGGATCTTGCAAGGTTCTTGCAGGCTCAACACCTTGCTTTCCAGCCATCCACTCATTTTGGAAAGGCACACCTTCCCAGGCACCCCACTGTGACAGAGGAGGATACAGAGAAGCTACATACAAGCAACTATCAGTTAGAGCTGCACTGGTTTTAACAAGTTCAAGAGAGACCCCAAGGACAGAAAATGCCCTGCTGTTGTCCTGAAACAATGACCTTCTAGAATATTTATTTCAATGTCATGAGGTTACTATAACAGGTGTTTCACTACAACCTTACTAAGGGAGCAGTTTATCACTGAGAAACTCACCTTCCCACATACAGACAGAGACAACTTTTCTTGTTGGCTCCATTTCTTTGTAAAAGGAGAAGTTTAACAGCTAAGTAAAGTTCACATACAAAAAAAAATAATCAAAGATTATTTGAAAAAGGTCGAGGAAAGATCACCTCTCTTTATTACGATAGCCAGGAAATGGCTCTTGTTACACTAAGCAGGGCTCTACGGGAAGTTAACATTAACGTGACAAAAGTGAGCATGGATGGATCGGCAATGAAATTCACCCACATGCATACATCTGTCAAGTCAACCCTGCAGTCATCTGTGTTTAACAAATCTATTAGCAGCCACGAAGGAAACAGCTCTGAGATTCCTACATTTATGTGCAACACCACACACAGACACACTGAGCAGACAGCTCATGCAAAAGAAATGGGGTCAGATTTAAACTCATTTGCCTGAAAGTTTCAAACCCAAGCCCACCGCACACGTGTGGGCAGCATGGGAAGAGGCCACCCAAGCACTGGAGAGGAACAGCAGCTCAAACAAGAACCAAGTGAAGCCTTTTTTAAGGGATCGTGCAACATCCAGCCAGTAACAACCCTGCATTCTCTCTTGTGACACTGATTTTCATGGGCCCAACACTGTCCTTATCTAAACAACACTCACTTACTAAGAACGAGAATGTACTCGTTAAGACAATGAAGATGTTTAAATACCATCCCTGTTTCAGGAAACAATTTCCCTA